AAAGTGACAAGCTCTCTTTCCCCATCTTCTCTACAAAATTCAGCTCTCCCCAGCTCCTGCCCTGCCCTCAGCCTGTCTGGAGGGCCCTTCAGACCTGGGCGTGGGCTCCCTTTGCTTCCTCAGAGGCCTGTGATCTTGACTCACTTCTCCCTCTCCCTCCCACAAAGAACACCCACGCCCTCCTGGACGTCCGGCTGGACAGTGTCTGCGCCCTGCACAGGATGGACATCTTCCCCATTGTCATCCACGTCTCTGTCAACGAGAAGATGGCAAAGAAGCTCAAGTAGGTACACACTGGGGGTTGGGCAGGGGCTTTGAAGTGGCTCCTGGGCTCCCCTGAAGCCCATGGCAGGTGCCTCCGCACTTACTGGGGCTCGGCTAGCACAATCTAATCCTTGTTGGCTGAGGACGGAAAAAAAAAAGTAAAAAAATGGCTGGTTTCCTGGGCACAGACCGAGAGGTCCTGCCACTGTGCCCTTTCTACCCCAGGAACCAAGGCTGTGTTCTAGACAACTGCCTCCCACCACTGGGGCCTGGGGCCTGTTTTCTTTACAAGGTCCCCTCAGAGCGAGGCCTCTGTGTTCAGGGGTGTTTGCGTGCATGTCATCACTACTGTAGCCGGGGCTCCTGGGCGCCTTGCTCTCCCCTGAGCCTGCCCCGTCCATCTCTGGCCTGTGCAGGAAGGGCCTACAGCGGTTGGGCACCTCAGAGGAGCAGCTCCTGGAGGCCGCCCGGCAGGAGGAGGGACACCTGGACCAGGCACCCTGTCTATACAGCAGCCTGGCTCCTGACGGCTGGAGTGACCTGGACGGCCTAGTCAGCTGTGTCCGCCAGGCCATTGCCGACGAGCAGAAGAAGGTGGTGTGGACGGAGCGGAACCCCCGATGATGTACCGTGCCCCTCCCTGGGACGGTGGGGGCCTCTGCGTGCCTGTTAATGCGGTCCTGTTCCTGAGCCCAGACCCTACTGGCACAGCTGTGGGCTCTTGGCTCATGAGGCCTGCTGTCCCCTCTGGCTGGGGTCTAACCTTGAACCCTCACCACGTGCAGGTCACACACGGTGAAGCCACTTGTAACTGCACACTTTTCTGTGGAAACATCTTCACCTTTCACCAGGCTTGGCATGGTCTGGACTGGAGACCCTGAGAACATTTCTGCAGTGGGACAGGAGGGACATCTTCCCACGCCTTCCCTGGAACCGGAGGCCCCGGACCTCTCTGGAGAACCGCCTGTCTGCAGGTCCGATTCAAACCTGCGGGGGCTGCATTTCCCTTTACAATTCTGAAGTGTCAAAGGCTCACTCCAAAAGCACAGAGGCAGCGGGTGGGGAGTCTGGGTGGCCCCCAAGGTTGCTGCCACCCTTGCCTGGGGCAGAGGCACAAGCCCACATATGCTGTGACCCTGGCCACCTTTTCTCAGCTTCTGAGGCTGCGATGCCTCAGGAACTCCAGTCTACAGAGACCAGTGTGCTGACTTGTAAATACAGCCTCTGGGTGGTGGAGATGGTACTTTCAGTGGGTCTGTGCCCCGTGGCCTCCATGCCCGTTCGGAGGGGGTGTCCCAGAGAAGCCTGGCACCAGTATCCCTGTACAAGGTCCGGCAGACTCTGCCTTCCCCCGACCTGGCTTTGCACCCCAGCCCTTCTTGGGCCAAACATCTTCACTGCACCTTCAGGGCTCGGGGAGGACCCAGGTCCCCCAGCGCCTGGCCTTGCCTCCGCCTCCTCGGGCTGTTGCAGACTGAAGGTCATTTTGACAGCAGTGTCCAAGAATCAGGAAGCTGTTCTAGAATTCAGGTTGGAATCATCATAAACGAGTTCAGAAAAAGAACTTCTGCATATTTTACTAAAATAAAAAGCTTTTACAATAGCTGGCCTATGGCTTCCTCCAGCCCACCCCAGTATGGAGTGATGGGGAGAGAAGGGCGAGGGGAGCCACCCACTCAAGGAAGCGCCCTCTCCTTCGAGGGGTGTCCAGGCCGGGCTTCTGCTCCTGAGGTGGGTGGAGGCAGGGCAGGAACGGCACAGTCTCCCAGCAACGCCGACGCCACCCAAGAATTAACCCAAGCCAGAGGATGGGCATCGCCACCCAGCAATGCCAGTGCCACCCAAGAATTAACCCAAGTCAGAGGACAGGCATTGCCATACCTTCATCTTTGGACACTCTCAAAAAATATAAGCTTCTGCCCAGAAGCACCACAGGTTCAAGCTCATCACTCAGGGAGCCTGCCGCCAATCAGCTGAAACCTGCCTGGGGACCAGGTACTTGACCATGGGGCAAAACAGAAGAAGCAGAAACCTGCCCAAAGGTGGTTCAAAGGCTTCCTCTAGGCCAGACGCTGGTAAGAGCCAGGCGCTGTGCTCCCAGGTGAGTGTGGGCGGGACCTGTGTACTGCCCACGCGGCACCGAAGCCCTTGCCTGCTGTCCGTGAAGGGCTCATAAGTATCTGTGGCTGCCAAAGCCTAAAGGGGGCCTCAAGCCTCCCATTTGCAGGTCCCCAAACCAAGCCAGAAAACAAGACTCCCTTGTCATGGGCTGGGGGTGCTGCCCTGTCCACAGATCACACACGTCTAGAATTCCCGTGCTGGGACGTGGTTCAGACACGAGGACGGCCGTGTCGTCTGCCATGATGGCAGTGTCCCTGGTGGTGGAGGGGCTGGGCACATGCTCTGGTCCCCCTCCAGGCACTGGCAGGAGTGACCCCACGGGAAGGAAGAACCCTCCTTGGACGGGAGTGTAGACGGAAGCGCTGTTGTCAGTGCTCCCCAGGCTGGCCGGCCACAGGGACATGTCTGGGATGTGTGCACAGGCCTCCTGGGAGGGTCACAGCTCGTTGTGGAGGGGCTGGCACTGGGGAGAGAGCTTCTCCTCCAGGACGCCGTCGGGGGCACACACCCAGGGGTCGTGGGTCTCCCATTGCCACTTGGTCAGCTGGGCCCGAAGCATCTCCAGCACCTGAGCAAAGCGCGGGTCGGCGGCCAGGTTCTGGGTCTCGTGGGGGTCCCGGCTCTGGTCGTAGAGCTCCCAGCGTGCCCGGTAGTAGTAATGATGGAGGTCCTTGTACCAGCCTGTGGGCTGGCCAGCTGTGGTGCGGTTCAGGAGGTCCTGGAAGGTGGGTGAGACGTAGAAATCCTGGTCGATGGGAAAGGGCATCTTGAAGTTGAGGTTGTGCACGAGGCGGAAGTTCCGGTGCTGCACAGAGCGCATGGGGTAGGACATGGTGACCTCGTGGTGGCTCTGGCTGCCAAAGACGGTGGCCCAGAGGGGCTCGGCCTCCAGCGCTGGCAGGAGGGACCGGCCAGTGAGGTGGATGGTCTTCGAGCCAAAGATGGTGTAGCTGGGGTACGGGATGGAGAACCAATCCAAGATGGTGGGCGTGAGGTCTGGAAGGGAAGCGGCATCTCAGAGCAGCAGAGCCCTCAGCACACAGGACTGTCCTTGGAAGGGCCGAACCTATGCCACTCAGGGCGGCTACCCTCTCCAATCCAATCAGCAGCGGGAGGTGCCTTGTCGGGCACCTCTCACCGCCATGTCATCTCTCTGGGCCATGGTGCCTTGAATGGTATAACAAGAGGCCCTGATTCGGTGACATTTAGGATCCTTCTAAAATCCTATGGACCAGAAAAGAAGTCTATTTTTCAGCAGCTCGTCTACTCCAGCCCTGTGGTGGGTGTGGCCATAGTGCTCCTGGCTCATAATCTGGGGCCAGAGAGAGATACGGGCAAGAGCTTGGAGGGAAAGGGAACCTGAGTTTGCTGCTGCCCCGGGCCCACCCCACCTGGAGGCTCTGCCAGGCCGTGGGCAGGACACGTGAGCCTCTGCCCTGTGCCAAGGGGCTCACCCCAAGCCCCTCACAAAGTCTTCCTGCACCCCTATCTTTGTCTGCACATCCATAACATGGGACTAGATGTCCCAGGCCTTTTTAGAAATGAGCAGGGTCATGAGGTGCTTTGGGTCCCCCAGGAAGGCAGGATGGGGTGCACAGATGCTCAAACGGGGGTCCCCAAGCCCACAGTATTGGCATCACCTGGGAACTTGTCAGACATGCAAATGCTTGAGCCCGCCAAAATCTACTGAATGGGACACTCTGGGGGTTGCAGTTTGGATGTTAACAAGCATTCCAGGTGCTTCTGAAGCTCATTGGAGGTAGGCAAGAAAAAGCAATGGTTTTGAAAGCAGTGGGATCCAGGCGAGAATCCTAGCTTAGTGCTTATCAGCTGTGCAGTCCTAAGCAGCTTACTTCACCTCTCTGAGCCTCATCCTTTTCCTCTGCAGAGGGGGAGCGACAGTCCCTTCCTCACCCAGATGACCTGAGAGCCACATTAGGTGATGGGTGTGGAGCAGCATCTGACAGGTCGTGGCCCCGTCCCAGATCCACGCCCACCCCTTCCCTGATGGAGACAGACAGGCGTACCTAGGAGGCTCACGTAGGCCTCGCTGACTTGGCCCCAGCGTTTTGGGTGCTCCGGGGATGACACCAGTAACGGTTCAGCAGTGCCCGGCCAGTACAGGTTGGTCCTGCCGCTGGGGAAGGGGATTCCGTTGTCGGACGTGAAGATCACCAGTGTGTCGTTCAGGACACCCGCGTCACGCAGCTCCTGGAGCACGAGTCCAACTCCTGCGGTGAGGGGCCGGGAAGCAGAGCTCAGCTGCAGACACGCACGGGGGCAGGGGTGTGTGCAGACCCACCCGCTGCTTCATCCGGCCACTGGGCTCTGCGCTTTCCGGATTTGAAAGCATCCCGTAGTTCTTCCCACTAGCTCTGGCTCTTGCCCGGCTCTGCCCAGCTCCCATTGCCTGAGCAGGCCTCGAATAGGCCTCCAGGGACTCCAGTCATCCCTTGGCACTTCTGTGTCACCCCCAGGCAGCTGCTCCCTGGTGCCCGCCGGCTTCTGAGTTCTCTGGAATCTCGCGTCTGTCCCATGGAGCAAATAGGGCAGGGGCCAGAAGACAAGGTTTCCTCTGTACCCACTGTTTCCCAGGTCGCTAAGAATTAACGGCACCAACAGGGCAATGGCAAAGGTCCCGACCTCCTGTTGTGGGTTAAACGGTGATCCCCGAGCCCAAAAGACATGTGTGCTGGCATCTGTGAAGGGGGCCTTGTTTGGAAAGGGGAACTTTGCAGATAAAGATCCTGGGACAAAATCATCCCGAAGTACTCAGGCAGGCCCTAAATCCGACGGGGTCCTTATACGAAGCAGAAACAGGCTGGGCGTGGTGCCTCACGCCTGTGATCCCAGCACTTTGAGAGGCTGAGGCAGGTGGATCACGAGGTCAGGAGTTCAAGACCAGCTTAGCCAATGTGGTGAAACCCTGTCTCTACTAAAAATATAAAAATTAGCTGGGCATGGTGGTGGGCGACTGCAGTCCCAGCTACTCTGGAGGCTGAGACAGAAGAATCGCTTGAACCCGGGAGGTGGTGGTTGTAGTGAGCCGAGATCGTGCCACTGCACTCCAGCCTGGGCAACAGAACGAGACTCGGTCTCAGAAAAAAAAAAAAAAGAAGAAGAAGAAGAAGAAGCGGAGACACAGGCAGAAGAGGAGACACAGGAAAAAAGGCCGTGTGAAGGCTTATGCGGGGATGGGGGTGATGTTACCACCAGCCCAGGAACACTGAGCATTGGCGCAGCCCCCAGAAGCTGGAAGAGGAAAGGCAGAGTGTCCCCTACACCTTCAGGGGAGCGTGACCCTGCTGACATCTTGATTTCAAACTTGTGGCCTCAGAACTGTGAGAGGACAAATTTTGGTTGCTGTAAGCCATCCGGTTCACGGGGCTTTTTCGGACAACCACAAAAACTCACATACCTCAAGTTCTCCATCTGCATACGCTAGGGAACTCCCAACCCCCAATCCGACCCAGGTCCTGTGGCTGGAAGAATCCGAAGTCCTCACCCAACCTCTGGGGCGCCCTAAGGCCCCCGCCCAGGAGCAGTTCCATATCAGGGCAGTCCCGGAGTGGGTCCTGATGCCACCCACAGGCCCCACCTCTCAATGTGGGCTCTGCCGGCTACAGCACAGGGCCTGCCACACTGGGACCCTCACCCACACCCTGCTGTGATCTGACTGAGAGGGCGCTGGCCCAGGTTGGGGACCCAGGCCGTGGCACCCCTCTCAGTGCCCCATTCTGCAAGCCCACCTTGGTCCATGCGGCCGATGGTGGTGTACTGAGCGGCAAGGTCGGCTCGGGCTGCCGGGGTGTCGGGGACGAAGTAAGGCACCTGGGGCAGGCGGTGGGGAGCCAGGCTTAGAACAGATGGACTAGGGGAGCAGCGTCCAACCTTCTCCCTGGGGCCTCCTACAAATGGATGAGCCCAGAACAGCCTGAGTCTGGACCACCCGGTCTCTCTACGGTTCTCTGTGTGGTCCCAGGGATGGGGACCTGAATCCAGTTTGGTCAGTTTGGTCAGCGCATCTCTCTTCATCATCTAGGGCCAAGGCTGCAAGCTCGCAGGAGGCCCAGGTCCCCGACCCAGGGCTGACGGGCATCCTGAAACGCCAGAGGGGCCCTCCTACCAGCACGTCCCGTGGGTCATAGGCCTGGGGGGTCCAGTCTGGGATACGACCCATGCCGCTCTCTCCGTTGCCGAACTTCTCACAGAAGGTTCCGTACTGGGGCTGGGAGTGCCCGCAGCGGTGGGGGTCATGGAAGGCGACGTAGAGGAAGAAAGGCCTGCACGGGAGGAGGCCCGTTGCCAAGGCTGCGGGGCCAATGCCGCCTGGCACAGGAAGCCCCTCGGCTCTGCCTCCTCCTCTGTATCTGGAAGTCAACCTGTAACCCTCACCGCCTCAGTTTCCCCAGGTCCCTTCTCCCTCTGACCAGGCTAATTCGAGTACCTGGAACCTTCTCCCCGCCCCCATTCCAGCCACGT